AGACTGGTAGAATGTGAGATGTCTGCTTCCCACAGGGAGCTCACACTTGAAAGGCACAATCTGGACATGCAGAATCACAGAAGCTGGAAGTGAACTGTACAGGCCACTCAAGTGTAAGCTCTGAGCCTTATTCTGATGTACACCCTTATCTACATTTGAAACTGTGAATTCCTTAAATGTTCCAAGTAAATCAACAAATCTGAGCTAGTGTTTTCTAGTCTGTTCTCTGAGAAGGATCCTCCTTTTTAATAATTTTTTCTCTGCCACTTTCAGGGACCCCACCTTCAGCAGAATCTTTCCTCTAATCTCTCAGGCTGCAGATGGTGGGCATTCACAACTTTAACACTTATCTATTCAACATTGATTGAGACAGCTTGCCATAGTGTTTAGGCATGTATTTTAGCCGTGACATTTGTCCCTGGTGGGGGTGATCCTGGGTGGGGCATAAAGGAGAACTCACTCATGAGATACCCATCACCTGAGGTCACCCAGGCCAGCACCTAAAAGTAATGGACAATGAAAATCCCCACCAAATATATATTTGCATGTATGTTTATATTTACATTTATATTTATATATATACATGCAAATATATACATGTTTACTTATGCATATGTGTATGCATGTTTGTGTGTGTGCATGTCTGTATGTTGTATGTATGTATATCCTCCCCCCCCCCATCTTCTGGTCCAATTGCTACATCAATGTCATATTGGTCTCACAAAAAAAAAATACAAGACATTTTTTTATTTACATTTTGAGTCAGCTTTAGAAATGATGTTTTACTTTTCTTAAATATTAAATAGTCCTTAAGTCTGGGCCTGGAGTTTTGCTCTTGGAACATTTTTGGTTTATGTTTTATTGGTTTAATTTTTGAAAAAGTTGATTCAATTTAATTAGAAGATATGAACATTTTCTAATTTGATGATATGATTATGTCAGTTCGTAATACCTTTAATATGCCAGTGTGTACACTCCCTGGGGAAAGAAAGATGGGGGTGGGGGAGCAAGAAAGCACGACCCTCTGTGGGGGATGGTCACTCTGCAATTCCTTCTATTCCAATCCCCCTTTGTGATTTTAGACATACCTGCACATACACCCCATGTTGTTCATTTTTTTTTTTAGAGAATTTTGCTATAGGGTACATACATTCACAGGGGAGAGGGAGGGAGAGAGATAGAGGAGAGAGAGAGAGGGAAAGAAACCCTCCCCTCCAGGGGAATAGCCACGCTGCAATCCCTTCTCCTCCATTCTCCTCTTGGGATTTGGGGCATGCACAAACTAGTGCCCAGCATGTTTGTTTGTTTGTTTTCTTTTTTTTTTTTTTGGAGAAGTTTTTGCTACAGGGTGCATGTGCTCACCAGACAGACAGAGAGAGACAGAAAGTGAGAAATCACCCCCTGGGGGGGTCGCCACACCACAATCCCTTCTCCTCCATTCTCCTCTCAGAATCTTGGGCATGCACTCACATGCGCCCAGCGTGAGTTTAAGTCCCCAGGTCTGGGACGTGAACTGTGGTCAACTATGTGGGAGTCCAGCGACATAGCCATTATGCTAACTGCTGGTCCCATGCCCAGCATGTTTCAAGCCACTGAGTCCAGAACAAGAACTGTGGTCAGCCATGTGCAAGTCCAGCTATGTATACATTATGCCATCTGCTGGTCCCAACCTAGCATGTTCTTTAAGCCGCCAGGTCTGGGACTTGAACTGCATGTGAGAGAGCCAGGTGTGGGATCTACACTAAAGGCTAGTTCTTAATTTTTGTAATTTATTTTTTTCACTTTTTGCTTTTGGGCATGTGTACTTACTGGAGAGAGAGAGAGAGAGAGAGAGAGAGAGAGAGGAGAGAATAAGAAAGCAGCCTCAAGGGGGTATAGACATGATGCACTTTTTTCTCCATTCTTCTCTTATGGTTTTAGACATGTATGTGCATGCACGCCCATCATGTTTTTCAAGCCGCTGGGTCCAGGACTTGAACCATGCAGTCAGATGCATTAGATCCAGCCCACCTTAACCAACATACCACCAGCTGGCTTCTAAGTTGGTTTTTAAAATGTGGCTCATTTTCACAAATTTCTGTTATTACATTGTTAAGGTCTATAGGCTCTGTAAAGAATGCCTGTGGGTTGATTCCTCATCCTGTTTATTTATTTTTTTATTTTTCAAGAGAGATTTTTGCAGTAGGGCATGTACACTTGCCAGAGAGACATAAAGAGACATAATGTGAGGGATCACCCCACCCAAGGGGGAAGGCCATGCTACAATCCCTTCTCCTGCATTATCCTCTCAGCATCTTGGGCACACATGCACACATACCCAACATGAGTTTCAAGCCTCCAGCTCTGAGACTCGAACCACAGTCAGCCATGTGGGAGTCCAGCAACATAACCATTATGCCATCTGCTGGCTCCCAGTAGTGTCCCTATATTCACATTCCCGATATTCTCCTCATAGCACCTGAGCACCCAACCAAACATCTAGATGGGTCCAAGCACAAGGCAGATGCCCAGGTTTGCTCAATAATCTTTTCATGTGAAACTCAAATGATGCCATCATTTCCTGTTCACTGTTCCCTTTTCTCTGGGGATGGTCCAAATGCAGTGTGATGAACCATCCACCCTGCCCACTCGTACTCCTTCCATGTGACCCTTGACAGCCTTTTCCTCATCTGCCCATCCAATAGACCTGTCTTCCACAGTTCAGTGCTCAGCCACCACCACACACACACCTCTGACCCTCTGTTTGCTCTAACAGCTAAGCATGGCTTCCATGTCCACTTTTCTAACTGCAGTCATCCCCTCTTAGGTCATAGGTGGTGTGGGTGCCTGTCCTCCCACAAGATCACAACCCCTCAAGCTAGGTACCCTGTCCTTAACCATGCACAACACCTCATCTAGCACATACATAAATGAATCAGGGAATATAAACCTCTATCAAGAACTCTAAGATCAGTCTTTCAAGTCTCCCAGAATTGTGTTTGTGTTCATATTAGAATTGCAGTGACTCTTGGGACTAGCACTGTGGTTTAGGGGTTAAGGGAGTCAGATGCCACACGGCCAACTGCAGTTCATATCAGAACCCTCGCAGCTTGGGAAACACACTGAGTCCATCCCCAAAACACTGAGAGGATAGAAACATGGAGAAGGGATTGTAGTGTGATCACATCATATTGGGGAGTGCTTTCTCCCAATCTCTGTGTCTCTCTCACTGGTTATAAACCAGCCAGGGGTGCAGAGGAAAAGGAACAGAAACCGTCCTGGCACAAGATGTGGGAATGAGTCCTCCGTGCTGTCACTCAACTATGCTCAGGAGTTTTACACTTCCCTTAAAACTTAAGTACTCAAAACAGGGACCAGCAGATGGAGTAGGGGTTACGTCACTGGACTCCCACATGGTCGACCATGGTTTAAGTCCAGAAAACTTGAAACTCACAAGGGGCACTTGTGTGTGTATCCATGCTCACCCTCAAGATCCTGGCCTGGCCATCCCCTCTGGGGGTGGGGGGTGAATTTTTGCTTTCTGTCTCTGTCTGGCAAGCATACATGCCCTATAGAATAAATATCTTTCAATAAACAAACAAAAAATATCCTAAATACTCAAAACAATTGATGTCAAAAAAGTTTTTAAAGAATTTTCTTTTATGTTCATTTTTTGTTCTATTTTCAGAGTGAAGGGGGAGTCACCCAATAGTCACAACCTTACCTGCATACATAAATCCTCTATGACACACTTGCATCTCCTTTGAAGACCCAGCTGGGTACTCTGATCCACTCAGCCTTCCCCAGTCAGGAGCATGGGCATCCACATGTATGCAGTGTGTACAGAGAGACCCTGGATGCACAGCCGGGACCTTCACGTGTGGATTCGGCATTGCAGAGTGCTGGATTACTGCTCTGCCACTGCAGCTGCAGGGTCTCTGCAGCCAACACCACCTCAGAAGTCATCCCAAGCCCATCGCCCAACCCCGACCTGCTGGTTTTGGGGCACTCGCCAGCTCCTGAGGCCTGCTGCCCTACCATCCTCTGCTGTCCCGGCCAGTGGCTACAGGTAGAGGTGTACCTCTAAGGACTCAGGAAACACAAAGGGTTGTAAAGAAGGTCACAGCATCCAGTGCACAGGGGCGGGGAAATCTGTGAACTGGAGGCATGCAGGTTGCCAGAGCCCCTCAAGGCCTGCGTGGTATCCAGGGAGTGCTGTCCACCCAACAGAGGCCCCAGCCCTTGCCCCTAGACCACAGCATGCACTGGGCTCTATAGGCCCCTTGACAACCATTTGTTGCCACCGAGCGAAGGCAGCACCCCTCCTTCAGCTGCAGATGCAGCTGTGATGATCGCGGCATCTGTGGAAGGGGCGGACATCTTTGTGCTCAGGTGAGATCCCAGGCTGGTGGTATGTGGGATCAGGACAACTCAGATGGTGGCAGAGGAGGCTGTGGGTTTTGTGCAGCAGGTGGACCTGGTGTGGGTCAGGTTTCCAGGAGAATGCTGGTGGGGCCTGCAGCACCACCGCCACCACCACGCCAGCCCCACAAATGCCCCACCTGCCTCTTCTCACCCAGGGGCTGCCTGGACTCCCTCATCCCTGTGCAGTTTGAAACCGGAAAGTCACACTCTAGTTTTCACTTTGTTTTTTTTGTTTGTTTGTTTGTTTGTTTGTTTAATAAAAAGTGTTAAAAGGTGTTTACTTTACTGCTTGATGAAATGCTGGCCTTGGAGAACAGCCCTGACTGTGGCCTGGGAGGGTACCTTGTGGCTTCTGTGCCTCTTCACTGCAGGTCCTGCCCCTGGTCCCCAAGCCTGCTTAGAACACCTAGCCTCCTGGCTGATTGAGCTGCAGCTCCACCTGATGCTCTGGATTTCCTTCTACCCATCCTTCTAGCCTTGTGGTGGTCAGTGGGTCTGTCCATCCATCCTCCTGTCAGGGTCCCTGCTGTCCCTTAGCTTCCCCCTGCTTGCAT